CCTGCCACAACTGGCTATTATTTTTTGGTTGCAGCCGTCGTTGTAGTTCGGCAGGCCCAGGCTGGATTCGAATCTGCCAAATCAGGTGTGTGTGGCTGGCACCTTACCCATTTGAGCCACAGTTGCTGAGCCCAGGCCCAGATTTTAACTTAATTTGTGTGTGCTTTTAAGTGACAAATGTGCCAGTGGGGATGGCAAAAAGGCTGAACACCATTCCTCCCATCCTCATCTTTGTGAAACTGCTTGATAGGCTGACACCCGCTAGAGCCCAGGGTACTGCAGGAGAGCTAAGTACTCACTTCCTACTCCCAGAGCGGGCACAGCCTGGGGTATGTCCATGTACCCTCTATGTTATGAAAGGTAGAGGGCGATGGAAAAAATTCTCAGTTTCAAGTCTTACCATTTCAGTTACGTCTGCTTCAAATTCAGAAACAAAACATTTCAGGTTTTGATGTTTCAAAAACATCAAAAACACTCTTGGATTAAGGTAGGTAGAGAAGCTACATGCTTTTATAGATATTCCTATCCCATAGGGAAAGAAATGGGAAAGGTGGTGGCCACTGTCCCCGACAGGTCACTTGTGGAACTGTGGCTGAATCCATCTGTACAATAAGGATTTTCCTGAGTGCTCCTCTGCATCCAGTGCCAAAACGGAAGGGATGGAAATCCTATCAGGGCAACTTTTCCAGTCCCAATAGAGCAGAGAAGGGCCAAGGGTAGGACTTTTCAACTAACAACTATATTTCTCATGTCATCTTGGAATTGCTTCCCCATCTCACCCAGTTCTGTTCCTTTCATGAGGCCAAAAAACTTTACAAGTGCTCAGGGTTTGGCCAACAACCCACATGTGATTAAAGTTACGACAATTGGTATGGTTTAAAAAACAACTTACTAAATCCTCTTAAAGTATTAAGAAATTTTAAGCCCGACATGTAGTTCCTAGCACTTCGGGAGGCCAAGGAGTTCAAGACCAGCGTGAGCAAGAGCAAGACCCTGTCTCTACCAAAAATAGAAAAATCAGCCAGGCAAGGTGGTGTGTGCCTGTGGGCCCAGCTACTTGGGAGGCTGAGTCAGGAGGACCACTTGAGCCCAAGAGTTTGAGGTTACAGTGAGCTAGATGATGCCACTGCACTCCAGTGGGGGCAACATAGCAAGACCCTGTCTCAAAAAACTATAAACACCAAGACATTTTAATCCTGTACTACTATTATTTTAAAATAAAAACTACAGCATTATTTCCCTTTCTGATTTTTTATGCAAGTATATCTTTTTTCCCAGAAATGTCATGATAAATCATAAAATAGCTATTTTTATTAATTGGGCAAGTCCTAAATTTATTTATTTATTTATTCATTTATTTGAGAAAAAGTCTGTCATCCTGGGTAGAGTGCCATGGCATCACAGCTCACAGGAACCTCAAACTCTTGGACTCAAAGTGAGTCTGTTGCCTCAGCCTCCTAAGTAGCTGGGACTACAGGCACCAGTCACAACACCTGGCTATTTTTTAGAGATGGGAATCTTGCTCTTGCTCAGGTTGTTCTAGAACTACTGAGCTCAGGCAATCTACCCTTCAGATTTCTACCCATTTCTTTTTTTTGCAGTTTTTGGCGGGGGCTGGGTTTGAACCCGCCACCTCCGGCATATGGGGCCAGCGCCCTACCCCTTTGAGCCATAGGCACTGCCCCCTATTTCTTTTTTTTAGACAGAGTCTCACTTGTCACCCTCAATAGAGTGCTACACTTGTCATAGCTCATTAGCAACCTCAAATTCTTGGGCTCAAGCAATTCTCCCATTTCTAATGAAATTTTCCTTAAGACCGGATGGGGTGGCTCATACCAGTAATCCTAGCACTCTAGGAGGCTGAGGCAGCTAGATTGAGCTCAGGAGCAAGACCACTCTGAACAAGAATGAGACCCCATCTCTACTAAAAATAGAAAAAACAAGGCACGTGTTGAGGGAGATACCTATAGTCCCAGCTACTCAGGAGGCTGAGGCAAGAGGATTACTTAAGCCCAAGAGTTTGAGGTTGCTGTGAGCTACAATGCCATAGTACTCTACTGAGGGCAACAAAGTGAGACTATAAAGAAAGAATTTTGTTTTTAAAGTGCAAGACAAATTTAAATGCCATTTCTTGTATCTCTTACTTTCATGGTTTACAGAATGATAGCAGAACACTGGACTATTTTTTGTTGTTATTGTTGCAGTTTTGGTCAGGGCTGGGTTTGAACCTGCCACCTCTGGCATATGGGGCCGGCATCCTATTCCTTGAGCCACAGGCGCTGCCCTGAGCACACTATACTATTGTTTCTCACTGTAGCCATCCAGAACTTAAACTGTAAGAAGAGGCAGTGGGGTACAGCGAGGAAGAAAAAAAGAGGCCTAGATTCAGGCCCCTGAACCAGCTATAAGCTTAGGGAAAGTGCTTTAACTTCTCAAAGAATCATTCTTTCCCCTGTGCAAAAAGGGACTATCACACCTAATTCGCAGCACCATAGTGAGAAGTAGATAAACTTTTAGGAAGACACTGCCAACTGTGAAATACTGCCTAAGTGTTAATGTGCAGAAGTGTTCATTCCCCCCAACCCAAAGGATTAGTGTAGTATTGCTGCTTCCACAAAACGCACTCCACAGGCAGCGTCTGTGGCTCAAGGAGGAGGGCACCAGCCCCATATAGTAGGGGTGGCGGGTTCAAGCCCAGCCCTGGCCAAAAAAACTGCAAAAAAAAAAAAAAATGCATTCCAAACTTTGGAACATATCCCTCCCTTGTTCAATGATCTGTCATGAACAGGCCACATCTGAGCTCTTGGCGGAGAATGCCTATTTTCTGCTTCCCATAGGCTCTGAGGAGTACTTTTATTTTTAGTTATTTTTCATGTGTTTGTTTATTTTTTGGAGACAGAGTCTCAAGCTTTCGCCCTGGGTAGAGTGCTGTAGCATCATAGCTCACAGCAACCTCAAACTCTTGGGCTTAAGTGATTCTCTTGCCTCAGCCTCGCAAGTAGCTGGGTGGGAGTACTTTGAAAAGATAAGGCAGGTATGTCACTTCTCTGCTTGATACCCTCCAAATTGGGCATGGTATGCACCTGTGGTCCCAGCTGCTTAGGAGGCTGAAGTGGAAAGCTCCAGTGAAGCCTAGAGTTCAAGACCAACTGGGCAATACAGTGAAACTCCTATCTCCAAAAAAAAAAGAAAGAAACAATAAAAACCCCTCTAAAGGGTTTCCTTTTTATTCAGAGTAAGAACCAAACTTGGCCAATCCTGGTGGCTCACACCTCTTAGCACTAAGGGAGACCAAGGTAGGAGGATTCTTTGAGGTTAGGAGTTGAAGACCAGCCTGAGCAAGAGTGAGACCTTGTAAATAAAAAAACTAGCCAGGCATTGTGGCAGGCTACCGGCTGGGTCCAGCAAGGGAAGCTGAGGCAGGATTCTTGAGCCCAGGAGTTTGAGGTTCTGTGAGGTAGGCTGAGACCATGGCATTCTAGTCTGGGGCACGAGAGTGAAACTCAGACGAAAAAAAGAGCCAGGCACAGTGGCTCACGCCTATACTTCTAGCACTCTGGGAGGCTGAGGTAGGTGGATTGCTTGAGCTCAGGAGTTCGAGACCAGCCTGAGCAAGAGTGAGATTCCATTTCTACTAAAAATAGAAAACCCAAAGCAAGAGGATCCCTTGAGTCCAGGAGGTTATTGTGAGCCATGGTGACTTCATGGCACTCTAGCCCAGGTGTCAGAGTGAGACTCTATGTCACACAAAAAAGAAAGAATAAGAAGCAAACTCTATCTTTCTACGAGGCCTTATGTCAGGAGTTGGTAAACTTTTCTCTAAAGAGCCAAAGTTAATACTTTTGGCTTTCTGGACCATATAGTCTGTGTCACTCTGCCACTGTGGCACAATAGAAACTCCAGATAATATGCAAATGAAAGACTCATAGTGACAAAGCTATTTATTTATTTATTTATTTATTGGCCAGGGCTGGGTTTGAACTCGCCACCTCTGGCATATGGGGCTAGTGCCCTACCCTTTTGAGCCACAGGCGCTGCCCATGACAAAGCTATTTAAATGTCCCAATAAAACTTTATAAACATGGGCAATGGGCCAGATTTGGCATGAGTTGCAGTTTACCAATTCCTGCATTATCTATCTGACCACCTGTCTTCTTACCCAAACTCCAACTATCTCCTCCTCACTACCTTTTTTTTTTTGCAGTTTTTGGCCTGGGTTTGAATTCACCACCACTGGCATATGGGGCCAGCGCCCTACTCCTTTGAGCTACA